TAGTCAGGTCTCTTTGGCTTCGCTATGATAACCGTTTTCGAGACCTTGAACACCTGTGGTTGTATACCTAGCTTAACGCATGCATCATAAAATACGAGTATGGGAAGCTCGCAATCTTTCTTGTCGGACTCATCATCACTGCGATAATCGGGGGATGATTCGTCTTTAAGTATTCGTTTGAGTCAGAACCACGAGACGTTGTCTGGGCCCGGTGCAGAAAAGTTGCTAGTGCCCTTGAGGGCATCTCGCATTTCAGTGCGACTCATGGGTGGGAAGGCTCTTTCCTCGAGCTGCTCCATCTCATCAGCGATGGTCATGTCAACAGGTCGACCATTGGTTGGAGTAAATTGTTGTTGGAATGTTTCCCCGACCCCTTTCGAGTCAGTGACAATATCCCCTTGGCTATTCGTAAGGGCGACGTTAGCCACTTGTTTTCGTGGCTTCGTCCATTCAACATTGTTCCATATTCTTGAAGGGTGTGTGTGTTTTAACACCCCTTCGAAGAAATCACGTTTAGCTCGTTTCGCCGCCGCTCGGAGGCGGTTGGACGCATTCTTTACTTTCTGGGCTTCCTCTACAAGGAGGATGGAAGCCAAATCGTTCTTATTCTCGATACTTTTTAGTATCTCATCATCATTCTCAGATATTCCAAGACGATGAATCATGATGTGTCTCGCCCGGATCAGCTTGTTTCGCCTCCGGATGTCTTTTTTAATAGACTTGACCGAAGCACGTATATTGCGTAGCTCCTTGGCCCTTTTGTTACATTCAGCATTCCACCACGACTTTGCATGATGTGAAGGCTTGACTTTCTCGACGTTAGCCGACCAGGCTGTGTCAAACGCATATTGAATCCAATTTCCCCAACGCTCGATGTCCTCTTCAGAGGTATAATCATCGATGTGGGTGGGCATCGCTGCGAGACGTCCTCGACAGGCTTTAATGAATTTCTGGCCATTTTCTGACCCTCTCTTAACCGTGTACATAATTTTATCGACTGTTTCCAGGTCGATTCAAACGAATACTGGGCAATGATCACTATTAACTTGTTGATCATGTCGGTGTTCAATGCCTATGACATTGATATCTTCGTTGGTCCAGACTAGGTCTAGGGTTCCATCGTTTTGGTCCTCTCTGTTGGACGACCAAGTACTAGCGTGTTCAGGTGATGTGCTCAAGGACAGGTTCATGTCCAGCGTGCACATTGTAATGAGGTCTTCCACTTGGCGGTTGGCCCTAGCGCCAATGGGAATGGTGGCGTCCCACATGTGATGACGTAAGTTAAAGTCGCCTGCCATGAGATGTATTTCTGGCATGTTGCTGGCTTTATTTTCTAGGTAGTGCTGAGCACTGTGTGTTTTGGAATCATTGTACACATTAAGGATACGTATGATTTGTTTGTTGGGCATGGTTAGCTCCAGGCATTGGGCGTCGTCATGATTTACGATGCCCGTGTTAAGTCTCGGTGCGAGGTGCGCCCACCGTCTATTGACGATGGTGCACACTCGTCCTTTCTCAGATGCTCCGAGGAACATGTACTGTCTGTGTGTGATTCCTTGGTGGTATTCGTCCCGTCTTTCGACGTGGTGGACATTATTTGTTTAATATAACCCCAGAAGGGTTCTTGTACTAGCACGACGTCTGCCGTTCGATAATTCTGTTCTAAAAAGATTTGAAGGTTGTCCTTCGATTTCTGAACGTTAAAGGAGACCACGGTGAACGGTCTGTTATTCTCGTCCCGGGGTTTAGGGGGTTGAGCGTTATTGGGTTGTTTAACCCTGGCTTCCGCCTCCGCCCTTTCCAGGTTTATGTCAAGGGGGGGCAGTAATTCACTCGTATCTTCATCTTCATCGGAGGGGAATTCCTCGTTCACATCCGTGTTCCAGTCTTCCTGGTACATGTCTACAAGGTAATCCACTTCATGATTTATTCCTTGGTTTATCTGATCATTTTCGTCGAGTGAGAGATCAACATTAAATTCGATCTCAGGCGACGGCAAGTTTCTTGAGTAGTCACAAGGGTGGTCTTTCGGATCCGCCACTACGTCCAGTTCGATTGTTGTACTACTCATAGGCAACAAATTGGTGCTTCGTTATACAGTAAACTATACGATGAGGGGCTCTGTTACCAAGCACACTCTCCGTCCATATTATCATCGTGTTCCCCAAACGATTCGGGGTCAACCTCGTCATTGGAGTACCCATCGCAGCGCCACTGGACGTTGGGTCCCAAGGCCTCGGCGATCTCGGCCGCACATTCCACCGTGGGGCTGCTAATGACCGGCCCCAAATGGGAAGTGAAAGGGAGGCTGACGACTGGGTAGGGGTCGTTACCGTTATTCTCGTTGTCTTTAGTGGCCTGCTTAGCCATTTCGAGGAGGACGAACGCGTCCTTCCGCTTGATAGTTCGGTCGTACATGGCAGCCTCAATGAGGTCCGCGAGATCGCTACGATCGGTGACCGTCTTTGCTCCCACCATGTGGAGCCTGGTCTCGATGGCGTCGTCGAGAATTTTCCCTTTGGTAAGGGGATCCATTCCTCCCTATTATGGGTTAAGTGCCTTCGCACGTAGATGGGGTTACGATAACTTGCCTGAAGCACCTCTAGAGCTTCTACCTCCTGGGTAGCTCCGTTAACGACCTCTGTGAGGAGGTATGCGTAGTGAAGGGGAATGTCAAATTTTCCCCGGGACTGTGAGTTGTTGGTCTGGGGGGGAGGGGGAGAGTTGACCACCAGGTCGATGATCATGGCCTTTGAAAGGCGAACCCCTCGTTGTTGTTTGTGGATGGCGTCTTCAAAACGCCACTCGAGACGGGCGAGGTCTACCCACTGTCCCTGATCTCCTGCCTGATTCCCCCACCGGGGTTGATACGGTCGAGGGGGGCCAACCCGTGGGAAATACGTGGGGACGTCTTCTCATGCGGGGTCGTTATCGTCTTGCACTATCGGGAGCTCGAACTCGAGGGCCGGGGGACCCGGCATGGTCGGAGAACGGGGAGGGGACGTAGGTCTGGTGGGGACCCAGCTTGCGCTGTTCCCTCGAGCAAGGTCGTCGTCGTACATGTTCGGGACGTAAGGCACAACCTGGGACGTTTGCTCCACAGGCAGGACGAACTCTTCGAAGAACAGGAACGTTGGCGGCCACATTGTGGTGAGCTGCAGACGGTATTTATCCATGTTTTATTTGAAGAAGACGTACTTCATGATGACACGGTGGACTTGTTCCCTTTGTGTTTCGATCCCTTCGATTATATATTCGTGAATCAAATTTGTCATTGTTATCATGTCGCGCAATACAACATGGTGCCTATTACATGTACATGTCGTCATCGTAGTCCGCGATAGCAGAGGACGCTGGTACTGTAGCCTCATGACTTTGGTTAATGGGGTCAGAAGCATCTTCCCCTTCACCCGTGTGACCTCCCAAGCGTTTAGCCTCCCTACGGATTTCACGCTCTGGGTTGTAGCCCTTAGATAAGGCTCTAATGGTAGCGTCGTCAACGCCTTCTCGCTTCCAGAAGGCCTCGAGCTTATCGGGCTGCGTACGTAGTTTCCAACACGGGCACAGGGTGGAGGTGGCGGAGTGACCCCACGCCTTACAGTTGCGACACTTGGCATGTTCAGGGGGGCAGTTCTCAACCCACGGGTTGAGGGTCTCGAGCCGTGTTCTCTTGCATTCGTCATGCTGGCAGAAGGCCCTGTTCGTCTGGTGATTAGCCTCGTATTATTAATGTTCGTGAGAACATACTGGTGTTGTTCCGTAGAGTGCATGAGGCTGCACTTGTGACACAGGGCCTGGGAGTTGAACTTTCCTCCCATACCACATGCTCCTCCGACGTGTCCCCATTTGAGACATTTCAGGCAGAGCGGGACAAAGGTTTGTGGACGTGCGTGTCTGATAACGTACTTCTTTTCCCTGAAGGACACCCGTTTTCTCTGAGTGATCCAGCGTTCCACATACGAGGGGTTGCCGTCAATGATAGAGACCTGCACGGTGCAGGTGTCCCCCACCGGGGCGTACAGTGACATGCGAGGAGCGGACATGGGGTCCAAGATAAGCCCCTGTAGCCATTCGTTCTCGGTGACGATGGTGGCGTAGACTTCCTCGATGGTGAGTTTGACGTTCGCCTTGGCATCCAATACTGGAATACCAAATATGTTCATGCGCGCAATGGGCTTGTAAAAGTCCACTATGGGCCAAGGTGTAGCGTTGCGTAATTCTTCTGAGCCTTGGTTCAAGAACCAGCCACTCATCTCGCCAAGGCGGGTGACGATAGCATCCTCAGGGCATGCGGTGAAAAGGAGGTCGAGGAATGATCCTCGGTAGGTGATGGAGATTACGGGATTCGGAGTACCCCCTATCTTGGTAATTTGCGTGGCGACAACAGCTTGGATGTCTTCGGGTACCCTGCGAGTTCCCTCGGCAGGTAGCGTCTGGTTAGTGAATTGTACCCGGACGATCTTCCGGTGTGCATTCGGGGGTTGGGTGTGAGTGGCGGAGGCACTCTTCGCTGCTTCTTTGCGTTGGTTCAGCGCCTTTGAGATGTTGTTGGATTTCTCGGCGGCACGCGCTGTGGCCGGGTTGTAGAATCCTCCGTCGAGGGTGGCTTCGACCGGGGCCCCAGCGCGTTCGGCTGCAGTAGCCGCTGCCGTTAGGACCGACGTCTTGATCGGTCCTGTGGATGCGCCTCCGTGGGCTTGGATGAATTCGGCTCATCGTTGTGAGACGTCGCCAAACTTTTCAACGAGGATCTTGGCGGCTTCAAAGGTGATGTCGTATCCTGCTTCCAGTACGGTGGTCACGATTGGGGTGCAACGAGATATGTCCTGCATCGTGAATGTGGACGGCATGGGGGGGAGAGATTCCACCGTACGAGCGGTAGTCGCTCTGTCAGCGGCTTTTCCTCGTTTAGGGGCTCTGTCCGGGAGGCTGAAGGCGTCTTTGCGCTTCTCCCCAACAACAGGTGATCTCTCGTCCGTGGGCATCATGGTTTTGGTGAAGCACAAGGCCCCCGACGTCGTAGACAGTGCGTTGCCTGGGCGAGAAGCTTGGGCGGATACGCGGGATAGCTTCGTCTCGATGAGCTTCAGCTGGGCGTCGATGTGTGACATCGATTTGGTGACGACACTCTCCAGTTTGCGTATGTTCTGGTTTACTGAATTGACGAGGGTGCTTTCCTCGTCCTCGTAAACTTTGACGCGTTCCGAAAGGTCCATGACAGCCACCGCATTGGCGAACTTTTTGATAGCAGGGGGGACGAGGATGGTTATGGCAGATCATCGTTGGGCGTGGGAGAGAGAGTCGTACCAAGCAGCGTTGAGCTCGCTCAGTATTCTCGTAAAGATAGTGACCGGTGAACGGTCGGCGAGGTTGTGCATGGCTTCCCCTGGGTAAATGGATTTGTCGTCATCGAGGTTGCTGGGGACAGCTGCTACCTCGTCGGACATTGCGTTGAAGAAGGTGGCCCAAGCCGGATCAGCGAGGGAGGAATTGGGGTCGCCGGAGTTGCCGACGTAGAATGTGTCCCTGATGGACACTAGGGTGAAAATAGCTTGTAAGAACTTGCTTTTCGCTTCGTTCCAATCGCGGAAGTCACTTCCGATAGGGAGGTCAGCGGTGCAAGACCAAGGTACGTTGTTTCCCGAGCTGGGCCATTCGATGCCATGGATCGTGGTAGGGCCTTGGCCTCTGCCCCCGATGTTATACAGGCCCGAGGGTCCTTCGGCGTCCTCAGTTAATGGGGCCAACGATCCTGGTCGACTAGCTTCCAGGATTGAGTGGCAGGCAGCGGTAGGAGTACCTGGTTCAGATTCGGTCTCGGGTATAGACCTGATGCGATGACCGGTGAGGCCTAGCTGGTAGAGGGACGTGGGGGGCGGCTCTCTGTTGGGGGTGGTCGGACGTTGAACCTGATCAGCGCCATCCGGGGAGGGCTGTCCCGCACGTTCTTGGAGCATGCGGTTTGCCTTAGTAGTACCGATGTAAGTCTGGGTATCGCTTCGTAACAATGTGATGTGCCTACCTCTGCGAGGGGGTCCATCTCGTTGTTGTGTGAAGATGAGTTTCGTTGATTGAAACTCTTTGAGTTGCCCGATCCAAGTCTCGACGGGCAGGTCGAGTGTAGGATACGACAAGCAATTCCACTGAGGTTTTATAGCATAAGTCAGGGCCCTTATCAATAGGGGTTTGGACGACGTACGATATGTGGGTTTGAACGCCCGGTGTATCTTGGACCCAAGAGCCGTGCCGAATACATTCGTCACGTTCCTGGTATCGGAGATAGTGCCATGACAGCACTTGATGTTGCCCTCCTGACAAGTCAGGCGGCTAAAAGGTCCCTTCCCGGGCGTTAGCCCGTTGGGGGTGTCGAGCAGCTCGCCGCGGCAGATCGTATTCATATCTAACAATTTCTGCATAGTTCAGGGAGATGAAGCGCTCGCCGCTGCAACCGTTTCGTGCTAGGCCTCGAGACGGTCGAGCGCGAGCTGTGCAAGAAGACTGACAGCTCGTTGAGTAAGATCATGGATTCGTACGGCCAGGGCGGCCTTAGCTTCACGCTCTCCTTCGGCTGTGCTGGCAATGTCCTCAACCTGTTCGAAGAGGCCGAGCACAACATCCTGCCTACTCCCCTCAAGGCTGGTCGCGAGACCATATATGCACAGTTGTTCAAATATTCGTCGTCGACTAGCTACGCGTGGGCCAGATTAGAAGGTAGGAAGGCCAGAGATCGTGCATGCGGGGTGCGGCGGGCCCATCACCGACAGCTGATAATTTACCCTGTAACTTGCCAGCTTTGCTCACATTTACTTATTGTAGCTTACATATTAGACACCTATTTACGAAACGAAAACTTATGCCTTTTACTTGCAGCCTTATGTTCATTATCTACTGACACTACTAAGCTACACTGGCCAGCTTAATTTTTTCCATAGCACTACTATGATGGCCCCCTGGTTTATAAAGGCTCCTTGCTTTATAAAATTGATCTTACTGCTGCAATATGCCCCCAGAGGTGCTGTGAATATTTCTCATGATAGACTTGTGTTCATACTATAATATGACACCCATATCATGGCGGGTGTACAGTAAGGGATGATATGATGTTTTTGTGGATGCTCAGAAGCAATCCAAAACTGGCCGAAAAATGCCACTGATGGCTAGATTCAACCAGATCTCGCTCACCAAATATTCTGGCAACTGCATTCATAGACTTTTGTACTTACACCAGACATGACTGGTCAACATATTTGGTTTAAAAGGTGCTATGTACATGTACAGGGAAGGAACATTAGTGGAGCATTACAATGAACGAGCAGGGCGTGATGAAATTGTCGCTCTGCCAGATCTCAGACAACTGAGGTTGACTTTGAAGAGGCGGCTCGGCTTCTCGGCAGAGGCACAGCTCGACGGCATCTGGTGTGACACTTGTGTGACAAAATTTATAAAAAGTAGTGCAGGACCTACTTTGTGCACCGGAAAGGATCCGCTGCTCTTGCAAAACCTCAATAAAATATTATAAAAATAGAAATATATAGCTAAGGTGTGTGCACATTGACTCATGCAAAACTGCCTGTGAAGCATGGATGTGGTAAGTCACAGGATGCAGATTTTCCCAAATTTTATAAAGCAGGGTACCATCATAGTAGTTATTTCCATTTGTTCACTTACTCGTACTGTATAGTGTGGTCAATGCACTGTTAAATATCTTTGTAGTGTCCTGCAAGTCCATCATCACCTGGCATTGTGACAGGCTTCTATGAGCAGTTCTGCCATACAAAACAATATTTTGGCTATTCACACCCATGGCATTTCTCATGGCACAAGAGATTGCCAGGTTGCATGAGCCACAGATACCATTTACAGAGGCAGAGCCTTCTATACCCTTTCACACGCTGATGGTGGTTTGTGGTCACACCTGAGAACATGGCAGGAATTTATCGAGCATTTTGAGCAAGCTGTGAGTGATACATTGGTGTGGTTCCCATGCATTGATTCTGGAATATATTTCTGATCTCATCTATAGGCATAAACAGCAGGTTTAGAGTTCCCATTGGCTGTGGTCCCACACAAACAAGGCCTTCCTCGCAGTCTCTTCAAGTTCTCACATTTTACCTGTTCCTTCAAACAAACAGTCCAGGTAAGGGTTTCCATTGCATCTAAAATCAAAGTTGTGCGCAATGTCGACTAAGCTCCAAACAGCTCCATGGATAAACCCCCAAATCCCTTGGTTGTGAGCTTCAATAGGCACGTCAAGTATCCTTGCTAGATGAGGTTCCCATAAGACTGTGAAGCACAGTCATGAACTCACAGGCATCTTTCAGCTGAATGATGTGAGCATGATATCACAGGCTTCCTAGGTGTCACCTGGATGTAGTCCAGCTTCTATCACTCTACATCCTACGTATGCAATTTTATAGCACTGCTTGTCATTGATTGCAATAGACTGTACAAGATAGCATGCTCCAGTATACTACCTTTCCACCAGTGTGGAGCCACATGGCAGTATACAGCCATGGGAGCAAATCTAGATCTGGATTTGGATCTGGAAAACTGTGGTGTAGTAAAGGTGGGGTACATTTGGTGGCACTCCCATGCCATATACACCTTATGCAGACCACTTGTAACAATAATTGTTTCCAGTTTGCCATAGAAGGAACATGTGCCAGCAAGCCCTCTTAATGGTCAATGCTTCCACTAGCAAAATTTTGCCATAATATCTAATAATCACTTGGACTGTGATGTGATCAATTGGCCTGCCATTTTGCAGTCATGCTCATTCCTATTCTTATAACGCTCTTTTGGTTCTCTACTCCAGTAATTTGCAAGCAGCCAATATTCATCCTCAACATAGTCTCTATTTTTGTAGGTATTGGAGTGGCAATGATGGCTCTCTGCGATAGCATAAGCAGCCCTTACTTTAACATCATTCAGATGATTACATTCTTGCAGATTTTTCCAATTTTGAATCCAACAGCCCAACCCAGCAACATTGCAGACTTTGCCTACCTTGTTATATTGTTGCTAGCTCTGTGGTTAAATGAGCTAGCACTCCAACTTGCAGCAGTGTTCTCACCACGCAGAATTCTGCTGCCAAAGTTGGCTGCCGTTTTTGTGTTTCCCATCATTGTAAAATGTGTCCAAGTAGGCTGTATGATACCTATCTGGAAGGTCTGGTTTTGTGAGATGAAAATCAGCAGCTCAAGTATGCTCACAAATTTGAAAGACATCAACTGGCAAAAAAATTCCATATGTAGAAGCAAAGTTGCTTCTCAAAATTTTTGATAATATGTACATATCTCTCTGGATTTCTGTGGCAAAGCATTTAATCCTACTTGCATAGATATTTGTCAACAGTCTTCATCTGAAAGTTGCTCATTAGGCACACATTCTAAGGACAAAACGATCACTAAGTTGCTTTTGGTGCCAAAGGTATGGCCCCACTTCACCTTACACACACATCTGTCTGAGGCACATATGTAGGCTCTTTAACATCTAGACTAAAGACATTATTCTGGATAGTGGTTGGAAATTTTGTCTTCCCCAGTGAGTACAAGACCGTCAGAGTAGATAACAAACTACTAACCGGAAGCTAAAGTTATTTTCAATATTGTGGTCATAATAGACATCTTTTTAGATTCCCATTACCCTCTCTGCATAGATTTCCTCTTCCCCAGCATCTACATCATCAGCATTGTCTTTACCACTGGTAAGCACAGGCAACATAGTTGTGTCAACGTGACTATTAACTTCCCACATTAGTCTGGCATGAAAGGGTGGAATTCAAGAAGAATGAGTCTGTCTCATCAACTTTAACAATGAGAAAGCCGCCATCGGCAAATTCTGCCTTCCCAAATACCTCTAACATAGATCACACTATCTCCAAGTCTGTCAAAGATGCATTTGAGAATGTAAACAAACTCCAAGCCTGGCCAGGTGTGAGAAAATCAGCTCCTCATGAAGAACCAACCTCACTGATAGTATTTGTTTAGATGGAACAGCTGCAACAGTAACGATAATCTTCCACACTAGTACACTAGAATTCACAAACGTGGCACGTGCTTCTGTCTAAATTTATCACAAATTTATGTAGTACAACCCTCCCATTGTATGCAATTGTTCTGCAGCTTCAGAGCCTAACACATGTTGTAAAGTACTATTGAAAGTTAAAACCTGATGTAAATTCCATGGTTGAGTTATGGAGGATCTAGGATGAAAAATATGCATACAAGCCTGAGGGCTCTTATGGCATAACCAGAGTTCAGCATCACAAACACTACAACTGCAAGACTAAGTTTCAGTTTAAGTAGAATGCATGTTTGTGTGACTTGCAATCTGAGACAAAGATGAATGAATGCCTTACCACAACACTATTGGCAGCCTCATTCCGAGAACAATGGGAACAATCTTAAAATGACAGAGCAGGGAATGGCTATTTTGCACATCACTGTAAGGCTGCTGTAGTGATCTATGGGTATAGTTACTTAGTCTAATTTTCATTCATGCACACAACTGGCACGAAGATTGGCTTGAAACTTGAAGGTCTATGCCTGTTATGTGAGTGGTATGCAAAGTACATATGTGGAAACCTTGATGGCTAAGCTTATTTGCTAATAAGTCAAACGGGCACATCCTTTACTTCCAAGTTGACGAAGACTCTTCCATGCAGGACTTGCTGCTTCCACTTGTCCTTGGACTCACCCACCATTGTGAGGATTTCCACCTTCCTCAATGCCGAAAAAGTCTGGCCAGGAAGCATGTATCTTCTGTGACTGCAAATTTATGCCTAATGTCTAAACTTTCTCTTCAGTGTCCAGCAAGAAGGCAGAAGAGAATATAACAATATCAGCAAGCACCAAAGGAGAACATAGTAAGGTCATTCTCACAGGCATTGTACCATTGTTCTGGCTTGAATTCTTCAGGGTCAGGAAAGATCCAAGGATTGTGGTCTGACAAAATCATTGTACATGCTCTGAAACTGGCAGGAAAGATAAATGCACGTAATCCAATCATGTCCACTATCACATGAGTTCTGTGCTTGAGCGGCAGAGTGCCATCATTGTTAAGCCTGACATTCTGTGGAACCATGTGTTTGGTGGTGTCGCAGATTATTATGAAGCTGAAAGCTGGTGCACCAGTGAACGTCAGTGTATACCAGTTGCACAGAAAAGGCATGGCACACAGAATAGTCAAGATGCTTCCAGGAAGCATGCGTGCACCTTAACAAAATGCACCAAGTTCTCAAAAGTCTGCGGGGATACTCAGCTGCTTTTATCTTGCACAAGCAATAAAAAGATTACAAAGTCTGCTTTGATAGGCATGACTTCCATGAGCTCTTTGTAAACTTCTTCCTGGATGTCCTGATGTAAAGCTAGATAACTTAGCGTAGCGTTCAAGGTATGAGCAACAGTCTCTGTTAGTGAGGGTCAGCAGGTGTTGCAAGGGCCTGCAGAGAAGCGCAAGTGCACTGTGTTCAGTGCTGAGGAGTAGAAAAGTGTGGCCAATCTAATGGAATGTGCCATTCAGTAGGTTAAGAGTGCAGCCATCCACTATCTTACCAGTTCGGAATCATCCATGGTGAACTTTCCTTCTTCTCACTTGCCCTGATCATTTGGCTTAGGATATCTGCACTCATGCTACCACTCACGGCAAGCTCTTTGCAACATCAATTGATGAGCTCCTGCATGAAGACGTCTATCTGATTAATAGCAGTTTTTAACTCGCAAATCCTGAATGAGTAGTCAGTGCATGCTGGCACAACCTATTCACATAATCTGACCATTTAATAGGTAAGTGATATGCCCATCCAGGGAGTACCAGGCAAGTTGCATGACATGAAGATAGAATGGTCATTGCTTGCCCAAAGGACATGCCCTCAGTCGAATTCGAGAACTGCCAGTTCAATGGATTACTGAAGCCACATGTCAAGATCAAAATCAGTGCAAGCTAAAGAATCAACATCAGTCTTGAGTGAAGAGGTCAAGCAAGTGGAGGAGGAACCGTGACCTTATTCATCAATTTGTTTGTGACAGGGACATTCATGATGAGCCTGCCTTTCTAACCCTCACCATGTTCCATCTTGTCAAAAACCCTGGCAGTCTGCTCTCAGACCAAGGTATACCTCTAAAGTCAGAGTGAGCTCAGATCAGAGCTCATTATTTCAATGGCATACTTACATCGTGTTGATGAGTGCAGGAGTGATGATATATCTGTGCTTTCTCCACTCATCTCTGTTTGCAGCAAAGATGTTGGGTTTCCAAACCCTGTCCAGCATTGTCAAAGAGTACACTTGAGTTAGCAGAGAAACAGAACTCACAGGGTAATGATAACTATATTGTACTCCTTGAAGAACTGACCTTTTATTGACACAACCTGTTGGGCAACTTCTGTGGAGGACATATAGATGAAAGTTGGGCTGAAGATGTAAGGAAGCACAGAGATGGTCTCTGTGCCTGCTTTACAATATACTGGACAAAGCACATAATTGGTATAGCATGCAATGCACAGATGTATGAAGGTTGCTATTGGACAAAAAAAATGAATTTGGAGCTGGCGCAGTCTGTACATACAGTTTGGCGGATAAAAGTGCGTGAGCGTGAACGAACGAGCACGAACGCGCATGAAAGCACACAAAAGTGCATGAAAGCAGGTAAATGTGTGTGATTGTGCGCGAAAGTGGATGAATGTACACAATCGTGCATGACACTGAGCTTTGGTTTTTGTTATGCCCTGCTTTGAGATTGGCAATGACGCTAATGTGTGTGCATTTGTGCGTTTTCATGCATGTTCATTCGCATTTGTTCACATTTGTGCATTCATTTTATTGTTCAGTTTGGTGTAAGTTAGCAATTGGCTTTCATTTTCGTGATTATGCATTCTATTTGAATCGTCAAGTGCACAAAGGTGCATGATGATAAACACCTAGCCAAGATGAAACTGTGACAAAATGAATACGTAGTTCATCAGATGCACACTTTTGCATGCGAAAGTGCACTGTCATGGGCGTAGCCCTGGCCTCCTATTTTATTCCCATTTTCTCCAATTTATTCCACGATTATACGACCCTCCAAACGTCGTCGGCGCATAAAGCGCCAGTTTACAAGCCGTAGCCGCGCGCTAACACCTCGAGAACACATCACCGACAGGCACGCATCAGCGCATCAGATGCGCCTACATCACCGCCGCCTCGTCGCCGCATCACGCTTCCTCGGTAACAGCCGCACTCCGATCTCCATCGGACTTCCTATCCCCGTCGGCCCGGCAACGTCATAAGCTATGACACATCGGCCCCCGTCTATCTCCGAGTCCGATCGGCAACGGACTTCCTATCCCCGTCGGCCCGACAACATCATACGCTATGACACACCGGCTCTCGCTTCTCTGCCAAAGTCCCCCAGATACTAGCAGACCGCCGTAGCACAGTCGCTTATGTAACGCCTGGTCCGTGCGCAGCCTGACTAGTATATAAGGAGTCCCTTTGTCGCTACCTAGCCCCATCTCAACCTCTTGGTTAATTGGGCTAGGTAAGCCTTCACTTGTATTGTAGTACAGATTGCTAATACACTTGGTTAATTGGGCTAGCTGAACAAGCTAACGCATTAGTCGCCAGACCTCGTCGGCGCCGCCTTCTGATTAGATCCACGCAGTATCCCTCGTGGT